CCTGCTACCTCTGCCCGACCCCGTTCCGTCTTCCGACACTACCCCTATGTCCTCCGACCCCATACCCCTTCCATCCGACCCTATCTGGGGTTCTGCTCCTCCGCCCTATTGGTCCACCCAAATCCCTACTCCTACCTCCCTCCACTTTTCCGACCCATGCGGGGGTCCTTCAGTTCCGCTCGTATTCCCCTACCCGACTATTTAGTCCATCCAACCGCCTCACCAGGTCCACTCTAGACTAGGAACCACTCAACTGGTCCTATCTCCATTTAGTATCATAGTTCCACTTGTTCGGATCACCAGTAATCCTATACCCTAGTGATATCGGATCCGTCGCATTACTACTGTTCCCCCAAGCCTTATTCTCGTATGTCTCAGTCATCCTATTGTATTCCTGTACCACTCAGCACATAGCCTTCTGCTATGCTATGCTCATCACTTAGAGTATATAAAACATATGTACATTGTCTGTAGATACTCAGTCTGAATATTACCTTTTCTAAGCCCTGCTCTTCTGTTCTTTTGACTTGGGACTAATCCTAGTCAACTCCTGTTAAGCCGGCCTAGGGGATTGACTCCCTAGGTCGGCCATCCTCCATTCCTCTGTTCCTCTGTTCCTCTGTTTCCTCTGTTTCCTCTGTTCCTCTGTTCCTCTGTTCCTCTGTTCCTCTGTTCCTCTGTTCCTCTGTGTCCTCTGTTCCTCTGTTCCTCTGTTCCTCTGTTCCTCTGTTTCCTCTGTTCTCTGTTCCTCTGTTCCTCTGTGTCCTCTGTTCCTTCCTCTGTTCCTCTGTTTCCTCCACTCATCCGACTTCCCATGTGTCGGAACTAGACCCCACACTCTCGTATCCACCCCCTCTGTTCCACTCTGCTTTGGACTTCATCCAAGCAGTTCCTTCTGCTCTGCTTCTACTGTTGGTTCTGACTGCAGTAGTCCTTCCCGCCTCCCTCCTGTCGAGTGGAACAACCCCTGCCCGACTTTCCTGCGCTCACCTAGTAGTCCGTCGGTCCTCCTTCAGAGGACCCCCGTTCCAATGTCCTGTCGGAACCCATAGAATTCATGTCGGACTACATTCCAAAATTAGGGGCATGTACTTGGATAAGGGGGCGCAGCATACGAGCCGAAGCCAAGCCCCTCAGACTCCACTTTACCCCTGAGCACGGTCTTAACACGGGCACCAAGTGCCGAGTACTGAGTTCCGGGCATCAAGTTCCAGGCATCGAGCACTGAAACACAAAACTAAAATAAATCATTTCATAAATTGAACAAATCACCAAGTACCAAGTACCAAGTACCGAGTTCCGAGTTCCGGGCACCAAGCTCTGGGCATTGAGTTCCAGGCATTGTGCACCGAAACACAAAACTAAAATAAAACATTTCATAAATTGAACAAATCACCAAGTACCAAGTACCGAGTTCCGGGCACTGAGCTCCGGGCATTGAGTTCCAGGCATCGAGCACCAAAACACAAAACTAAAATAAAACATTTCGTAAATTGAACATATCACCAAGTACCAAGTACCAAGTTCTGGGCACCGAGTTCCGGGCATCGAGCACCGAAACACAAAACTAAAATAAAACATTTCGTAAATTGAACATATCACCAAGTATTGAGTACCAAGTTCCGGGCACCGAGTACCGAGTACCGAGTGCCGAAACCCGGCACTCGGCACTCGATACTTGGTGATATGTTCAATTTATGAAATGTTTTATTTTAGTTTTGTGTTTCGGTGCTCGATGCCTGGAACTTGATGCCCAGAGCTCAGTGCCCAGAACTCGGTACTTGGTACTTGGTGATATGTTCAATTTATGAAATGTTTTATTTTAGTTTTGTGTTTCGGTGCTCGATGCCTGGAACTCAATGCCCAGAGCTCAGTGCCCAGAACTCGGTACTTGGTACTTGGTGATTTGTTCAATTTACGAAATACCCGGAACTCAATAATTTCAATCTTTGGGTATGCCAGAGGTACAATGCATTTCAACAACATTTACAGAAATCTAACACTACCAAATTATGTAGACATTTCAACCTCACCCAGATGACCCTCATCACCACCTTCAACTTCAACCTTGACCTCAACATCCATGTCATCAGCAGAATCGTATTCTGGGAAAAGGTTGCGTGGATGATCCAGCACCACAATGTCAATGTCTCTGGCAGTTGGGGGAGTAGGTGATGGGTCTGGGGCTAGTTGAACTTGGCTCGGCTCAAATATGAGACCCCCCGATGGCAGAGGGATCCTCAATTTTCGAGGGTGTGGGCTCCATCCCTGCCATCGAAAGACCAATGAGAGGAGGGAGTGCGGATTCAGAGGGTAACATTGCTCCAGTGACAGATTGATCAAGCAACAAAGATGTTGCAATTTCCGGAGTAGTGGGAAGGGGGAATGAGGGATGGTGTTCCATGGTTTCGCGTCAAAGGCTCTCATGGAGCCTGGTGAGGGTATTGATAAGTCTGCCCTGATTAGCAACACGTTCCTTGAGAGCCTTGATGTGTCCAGCACTATCGCAAATAGTGATTGCCATGGAATGGAGGCCCGGCATGGGGACATTGAGAGCTGCACGAGGCACGCGGGCACTCGAAGACACAATTGCTACAAAAGAATAAGATAAGATGATGATGATAAATTCGAAAGACTTACGAGCTGGTGCAGGTGAGGGTGTAGGTGGTGGGGTGGGTGCCTTGACAGCAGTTATTGTCTTGCTGCAACCATGCGTCTTAGGCATGGTCACAGCAGATGCACTGGCAGTTCCGGCAGCACTGGTACTGGTAGCTCCAGCTGCACCACAAGATTGGCTGTGGGTCCAGGCCTTTGGTTGGGAGGTGGACGGACCTTTGGAAGGTGTCCAGGACCTGGCCTTCTGGGTGGTCGACTTACCCTGTGAGCATTTCAGTGGACTTCCAAGGGTGATGGAAAAAACACCTTACCTTCTTTGTGTTGCAGAAAACACAGGAGAGAAGGCCGTTCCCAGTCCTCTTGTTGAAACGGGTTGTGCAGGGCAACTCCGCATTGTTGCAAGCCCAGCATGGGTTGTTCTGTTTGTTCAGTTAGTTGAGGGACGCCCAATGAATTTTCAAAGTACTCACAGGTCCAGGAATGAGAATGTCATTTGTATCAATGACAGTTGGCGCCACCACCAGGGTGACAACGGGGGTGTTGGACATCGAGTCCGTGTGCTCCACGACCTCTGGACATCTTCCAGCAATTACCTGATGAAGGTACA